AACAAACAAAGAGCTACATGCTCTTCTGACTGAGCCAGCCAGGCACCCCTACACTATTCTTGCAAAACCACACATCTTGACTAACCCTTCTACTGAAAAACAACTATAATGCAGAATATGACATTTAAAAATTATATTTTCTTAAAAATGCTTTTTAATGTTTTATTTATTTTTGAGAGAGAGATAGAGACAGCATGAGCAGAGGAGGGTCAGAGAGAGAGGGAGACACAGAATCTGAAGCAGGCTCCAGGCTCTGAGCTAGCTGTCAGCACAGAGCCTGACACGGGGCTCGAACTCATGAACCATGAGATCACGACCTGAGTTGAAGTCGGACGCTTAACCGACTGAGCCATCCAGGCACCCCTTAAAAATTATCTTAAATGTACTGATTAGCTGGTAAGAAAGTAAAAAATACTTCAGTGGAAAATAATAAATGAAGATGAAGCCCAGAGAAATGGAGTAAGCAGAGCACTGAAACTGGCTTTGACCTTGAGGGCATTTGCTATGTGGTGACTTCAAATGGTCATCTTCATAGCTTAGTGAGATATTGAAGACGAGACGAAACCTGCGCAAGGTGGAAAGTCTAATACATGATCCTCCTGCCATAGAGAGGGGCCCTTACGGCATAGCTGTACTAGAAATTCTGATCCCCAGAGAACAGCACAGAAAATTTCGTATCTGATGTTTAGTTGGTGAGGGAGAATGAAATCTATACTGAATATATGAATCCATAAGTAGCCCTCATAGGGCTTACAGTGTGAACTCACTGAACTAAGGTGGTCTAAAATTAACTCACCTTTATGTTAAAATAATATTAGATAAAATAGTCTTTACAACAGAAAGCATTTCTTGAATAGAGTCTCATCTTATGTTGGAAAAAAACAGCCAAATAAAGGCAAGAAACTTAGAAAACATACTAGACATGCTCTATTCTACAGAGTTAAAGGCATATCTTATAACTTCTAAAGATCTCAATTCTAGGTAAATTAAGAACTTAAATGTGAAAAAGCAAAACTATAAATGTTTTAGAAAACAGCAGAGCAGAATACATTTGGGATTTTGGTATGGGAAGAATATTTGCAAAGAAACAATATCACAAGCCATAAAGTGGATAAATTCACTGTACTAAAGTTAAGAATCTTTTTGTCAAAACATACCATAAAGAGAATGAAATGTTATAAATTGGGAGGAGATGAATATGTATTTGCAATATATATAACTGAAATATATGAAGAACTCCTATGAATCAACAAGAAATTTATAACCCAAAAGAAAAGTTTCCACAGAAGTGGAATCCAAATGTGGAACAGGTATGAAAATATGTTCAACCTCATTAGTAATTAATGAGAGGCAACGTGTAAGTGCAATGAGATATTATTTCAGAACCACCAGGTTGTCAAGCAAAAAAAGAACAAAAAAAGAACAAAAAGACTGACCATCATATGTTGGCAAGAACATAGGACTGTGGGAAGTTTTAACCTTTGCTGGTGGAAGGGTAAACCAGAGCAATTATTTTGGAAAGCTCTTGCCACTGCCTAGTTTAGCTGAACATTCCTACGTTCTAGGACCCAGCAATTCCATCATAAGGAATATATGCTAGAAAAAGTCTTTGATCGGTGTTCCTGAAGACGATACAGGAATCTTCATAGTATATAGCTTGTAAATGTAAAATCTGGAAACAATCTAAATAATCAATAACTGAATGGATATTTACTTTCTGACTGATACATACGACAACGTATTATATTTCAGTGAGAAAGAGTAACAATGGCCTAGTGCATCAACCCCGATTCTTTGGTGTTGACTGAATGATGCAACACCCAGAAGTACATTGTATGATTCCAATCGTTTAGCCTCCAAAACTGGCAAAACTAAGAAATATACAGCAATTGTTTAGAGGTATAAATAAGGTGGTTAAACTCCTAAAAAGGAAAAAAAGGCAATGATTAGAAGTCAGGGTGCTGGTTATTCCTTTTCTAAAAAATTTTTAATGTTTATTTATTTATTTTTAAATATTTTTTATTTATTTCTAGGAGAGAGAGACAGCGTGAGCAGAGAGAGGGAGTCACAGACTCTGAAACAGGCTCCAGGCTCTGAGCTGGCAGTCAGCACAGAGCCCGACGCGGGGCTCAAACCCACGAACCGCGAGGTCATGACCTAAGTGAAAGTCGGACGCTTAACGGACTAAGCCACCCAGGCGCCCCAAATGTTTATTTACTTTTGAGAGAAAGAGAGAGCGAGCGCACATAAGGGGCAGAGAAAGAGGGAGACACAGAATCTGAAGCAAGCTCCATGCTCTGAGCTGTCAGCATACAGCCTGACGAGGGGCTCAAACCCACAAACTATGAGATCATGACCTGAGCTGAAGTTGGATGTTCAACCGACTGAGCCACCCAGGTGCCCTGTTGGTTATTCCTTATGGAAGGGAGGGAAATACAATTGCGGTGGAGCAAGCGGAGCCCCGTTCGGGTACTAGTAATACTCAGGGATTAATACAACAGGTCTCTTCTTTTTATTATTTAAATGGCACATTTGTTTCATACATTCTTTGCCATGTAATATAATTTACAACTAAAAAAAAACCAAAAATCAAAATGCTGGAAGAATGTATATGACCAGATCTGAGATAGGGTTAGGTTGGGAAAGAAATGGTATCCATTGTTAACACTCACCCTAAAGACTGCATCTGACCCAAAGCCTCGTGTTCCTTTGTGAGGTGTCAGACAACACGTGAGGTCAGAAGTGAAGTCTACTGTTACTGAAGAGCGAGGGGAAAGCGCAGGAAGGAAGGCAAATAAAGCAATGGAAACAATTCAGAATTATGTGTGAGGCAGGAAAGCCACGAGCAGAGGGCTGCCGGTTGAGGGCTGTGATCAAGATACAACACACTCAACAGTCTTACTGTGTTTCACATCAGCCCAAGAGGGGCTCACAGAGGGAGACATGTTTTTCACACCCCATGACAACTTGCTGGAGACCTGGATGTGAGGAGTAGGCAGTAGGCAAAAGGCAGGCTCCCACTGGCCACGCCATGCTTAATGAGATGCCTTCAAGGCTCACCTCAAGAGTGGGAGGGGCTTGCCCCCAATCCTCACACCCTTTACCCTCCCTCTGGACTCCATGCACACTGCACTCACAGCACTTGTGTCCGCTGAGTCTACCCTCTGACTAGAACACAACGCTCTCAGGGCCAGGCACTCTTTCTTTTGGTAACCTAGGGAAAGGCACAGGGCTGGCCTTTACAAAGGGAGCCGTAGGGGTGAGGGCAAGAAACCACAGTAAGTAGTTTACGGGCAATTCTTCGCAACCCATAACCTTGACATTTCCTTCAAGAAACAAGGCACCGACTAGCAGTGAGCTTGACACAGGGCCTGAGTACCAGTCTTCTTCATTCCCTGGTGGCTTCCCTCAACCTGAGTGATTTTAGCTGCCTTGGAGAAGCCTTTGCCTTTAGGGGGTTCCTCAGCCTGTGCTCTCCATCCCAGCCACACGGGTCTCCTTGCCTTTTCCACATACATACATACATTCTCTCTCTGCTGTTCCGTTGATTATGCCCTACTGTATCCGTTACCGACCTTTTCTCTTGTATATTCAACCTTTCTTTTTCTTTTGCTTCCTTCTTTGTGGCATAAAAGATTCCTCATACATATAAAAGCCTCATACAAATAAAAGCCTCCATAATCATCACTGTTGAAGTGATTACCTCCTCCTACGGCTTCTCCTTCACAGCCAAGACTCTGGAGATTATATTTTATCCTCCTGGTCCCTGCTAGTCAGGCTTCCACCCACCAGACTGCGAAAATGTCCCCTCTCACCACACGACTAGCCACTTGTGACCTGATCTTCTCCTTCCAAGGCTATTGGGCTACATCTTCTCCTCTTTCCCTACCTCACAGACATTTCTTCTCTGTGCTCTACCTCCTCGTCACCAGTGTTAGGTCCCTTGGGTGCTATTCCCAGCCTCCCTCTATTCTTTATTCTTATTCCAAACACCAGTCCTTTGTGATCGTTTTCCTCCCTACTTTTCACTTCTTCTTATGAGCAAATGATTTCTGATCTCTGTCTCTAATATGTGCTTGACAGGCAGCAGGTGCTTTACAGGCTGAGACCTATTAAAAAGCTTCAGCACAGCGTTTACTTAAATTACGGAGCTCTAGCGTTAAGACTGGGTGTGACATGAGTTTATTTGATACCAAATTTTGCACAGAAACAAAAATTAGAAATCATTATTTGGGATATTAAGAAAACCCTACCCTAAGCAGTTGAAAACAAAAGGCTGGCAAAATTTTTTGGCTTTGGAATCAAATTAGTCATAAAAAAGTCTTTCTCTATGATGGAACTCACCATACATTCAGGTTTTCTGGACTGTGAGCTATGAGAGAGATTTAAGAGTTGGTAAACCATGGCCTGACAGGGAAATCTGGCCTACCATCTGTTCTTGTAAATAAAGTTTTATTGGAACACATATACATCCTTCACTTACCTGTTGTCTATGGCTGCTTTCGGACTACAACAGCAGAGCTGAGCTGTTGCAACAAAGACGGTATGGCCCACAAAGCCTAAAAAATTTACTCTCTGGCTATTTATAGCAATAGTGTGTCAGCCTTCATATAGATCGATACCTTTTTCACTGTTAACATATCCCTTTAAAATGATAACTTGTATAAATTATATTTCTAAGAGTAAGGAAAATTCATGCCTGTGGGACCACCATGCCTTCCATCCAGGTATGAATGCAGGTTACATGGTAACTAAGAACCCATTTTTTCTGAGACTTAGCTGAAAGCACTCCACTGCTATTACTAAATGGATCACTTAGACAGCTCAAATAACCAAAGGCAAAAATCTGTTGAGTTTTATTACCAGAAAACCGGTAATAATCGTGCCTCTTGGGATGACCGAGTGTATGTGTGTATATGAAGTGGGATATTGAAGCTTTGACAAAAGCAGGAAAATCACAAACAAGTAAAAGCATGGCTAAGACCATGAGGATTTCTTGCCTTGTCTGCAGGCGTTAACCTGGCCCAGGGCTTGTCCGCCCGGCGATCGTAGTCGGGAGACTCGGTGACTTCCACATACTCGTTAAACCGCAGGATCCTTCGAGCTTGGAGCTCGGCCACGGTCGGTCTCAGGCTGAGCTGCAGGGACATAGGGAGGAAGGGACAAGTGCAGGAGACTATTATTCACAGCCTCATGGTGGCAAGTCTATAGCGAACTTCAAAGGTATGGTTACACAAGGTCACTTTCAGATATCCAAAAGAAAAAAAAAAGGCAGCAGCACCTTGGGAGTCTCTAATGAGAACCAGAAAGCAGTGTGCCCTAATTCTGAGACTATAAAAATCATCATTGTTAGACAGGTCACAGGCATTGGCGGCCATCTGCCTTATGCTGTTTTCCCCAACTTGCCTGGTGTTGTGAGAAAGGCACCTGTCATCCCTGACACAAGGAACACGGAGCCACGCAGACACAACGGCAATCCAGATATAGGATGGCTGGCTAGGAATCATCCAGACAAAAGCACTGTACCTTCTAGAAATGAGATCTCTCTTCCTATTATATTAAACCTCTATATCCAGAAATGTACATGACAAGGTTATGACAAGGGAACTAGTCCAGTGAAGAGTGTGTCTGTGGTGGTCTTCGGGGGGCGACTAGAGACCCAGGCCCAGGCAGGACATTACCCCGGTGGGAAAGGCTGCCATGCAGAAATGCGCAGCGGCACGGAGTGCATTCAGGGGGCCACAACTCCTTACAATAGGCTGAGACCTTTATGACACTTCTAATGACTTGGATTCCTCCTACGGTCTTAGGCAAATTCAAATTTATAGCTCCATTTAATCCACTCAGCCCTGTGTATGTGCTCTCCTCCCTTGGTGCTTTCCCAAGCCCAAGAATGAAGAGAGATGGTTCTGAGACTAAAGATTACTCGGCACTAGTTGACAGGCATGATCTACTCTCTGCTACTAAGGTTCATGCTTCTGTGGCCTCTCTCAGTCCAGAGATCTCAACGGCCCAAGTTCTCTTTTACCCACGGGGTCCATTTCCAGTATCTTTTTTACCCATATATGTACTGTGTATACAGCCAGACCATTCACTGTCTAAGTGGCCCTCTTTGGAGGGGTTCCTTATGCGTACAGGAAAAAAATACCCTTTCCTGAGCCTCAGTGTCCTCTTGAGTAAAATCAGAGGCTGAAGTCGGTCAATGATCTAACATTAAAGTCATTTGAGTACTCCTCTAAGGGCCTGGGTCTACACTCTGAGTTCACCTGAGCTGGGGTAGGGCAACCGTGGCTCCTTCTGGCTTCATAAAGCCCTCTAGGCAGTGAACAAAGGGAGGAATGATCTACATGGCTCCCTTATACTCAGATGTTGTCCAATCTATATTGCTAGCTTCTTACCACCTCTTCAGGGCATGTGGGCATAAGGAGGTAGAGAAACCAGCGCCTCTGGGGAGTGCCCAAATGAGTTCCCCATCCAGTCTTGTCCTTTAGGACCATGTTATTAGTGTGATGAAATGGCCTGTGCCTATGGCAGAGAGCTCTGTAGAGTGGAGCAAAGTGGGAGTCGAGGGGTCAGGTTAGGCTCTGTTGCCTCTCGGAGGGGCCCAAATGGATTGAGGAAAGATGATTATGTATGGCAGGGGTGAGGCTGGAACAATGAGGGGCTACTGCTTATCTGTAGTTGGTAACGTAACAGCCACTGAATGCTAGAAGAGCCACCGCTAGCAATTCAGTTTACAGAGTCTTTGTCAGCTTGATCATTACTTGACATTTAGGATCTTTGAAAAAAAAAAAAAAAAGGAGATGAATTAAGGATCTTGTTCCCTAAAAATAAAAGCCAAAATCTCTCAAAATAGTCTCCAACTTTTCCATGGGAATGGAGTTTCTTCTGTGAGCCTTAGAGTGCTTTTGCTGTGGGCTCCCCAGCCAGCTCAGATAAATATGGGTCAGGTCACACACTTCATTGCAGATGTCGTATTTTACTTAACCTGCCTTGTCTAGGCGTGAAAGGTATAATCTGAAGAATTATAAGTAAATCTTTATATATTTGTATTAAGATTTATAATGAAATATAATGAAAGATCAACTCTAATGGTTTCCAGTAGTCTTTCCAAAGGCTATTATTATTCTAACACTTAAAGAAAAAGAGTGATGACCTTGGCGTCAGATTTATATTTTCATGAGTGGGTGGAAACAATAGTCTGAGTTTTGGAGGTAAGCCATTTGTCAAGTTAGGTAGCCTTGCAACAGGCAGGTTGGGTAATGAAGTTCACTTAATAAATTCCTGACCCAGCTCACCCATGGAAAAGTGGCCAATCTTCAATTTAATACTTATGTAGTATTTCCAAGACTACACAAAAAAAGTGAGCATTTTTAAAACCTGTATATTGAAATGTTAATAATAGTTATCGCTGAATAAAAGACACTTGCGTGATTTTCTTTTTTTGTTCCTTTTTGCATTTAAAAAATGTTCACACAGATGCATGCTATTTTCATAATTAGTAAATGTGATTTAAAATTTTCGATTGTTAATTCTTCCTATTAGCATGTCACGCAGTCATAAATATAAACATAATTCATAGTGTATGCATTCCATTGATTTTAATGTCTTTGATTAGGTAGTAGCCTAATCGGAGTAATTATTCCTCAGTATCAAAGGTAATAAGGCAGAGAGCTGATCTGCATTTAAATAATGAAGTATTATCTCAAAACACACATGCTCATGAACAGTCATGGTTTTATCACCTTTCTGCTGAGTCTGCGCTTAAGTTCCATTTTTGCTTCTTGTTCTTCCTCTTCATTCTTTTCTGTTATAAATGGGGGCAGAGAGGAAAGGCATGAAGACTTAGTTACTAGAAATTATTTTATAATCAGAAAAGTAGATAAGACCACATCTACTTGACTTAGATAATGATCAAACACTCTGACATAAAAAGTTGTGAAAAGATTTTGTAGAAAGGTCGATCATTAATTTATATATATATTATTTTTCTCCTTATAGGATCAGTTTCCCTAATGTAACCTTTTTGTAGTCAGTTTCCTAACTGTAAATCTTTTTGCTTCCTGACTTCGTATGTGTTCTGAAAAAAACTGTAAGGGTGTCCACACTGGTGAAAACCTTTCATTGCTGAACACCTCATGGGTTTATAAGCACAATCTATCAGAATTCAGATAAAAATTTACTTCTGGATCTGGCCTTCATATGAAAATCTGAGACGTATCAAAAGAGCAATTTAGAACCATCTGATACATGTCTGAGGTGATTTCCATTCAAATCCAACCAAAATACTTGATTTGTCTGCTTTGGTTTCCACAGAAGCAGAATGCAGTCATTTCTTTGGACTCTGCCTTCAAACCAGAATGTTCTGAATGGAGTTATTAGGGTGTACTGTTGATGGAGAGGATTTATTTTCTTGTGACTTTGACTTTCCAAAGTCTTCTTTTTCTCTAGTGGTTCACTAAATAGTAAAATTTCATGGCCATTTTAATGAATGCCCAGTCCAATGAATGGGATTAAGAGAAAAATGACCAGGGATTTTAGAGAAATAAATACCCCTTCAGGTCTTAATCATTACTTATTTGATGAACTTCTCTCTGTTGCTTCCACTAGCTCATCATTTGTTTGATAAATGAGCACAGATTTTACTTCTTGGATGCTGATGCTTTACAAAAGATGGTCTCTTAGGAGATGCTGTTATGAATTCTACTGAAGAACATCACATTAAATGAAGGCTCAACCAAAACGATGAAAAAAGAAAAGTTTGCTCTATGAAAAGATAAATTTATTTTAAAAATTCAAATAGACTTCTTACCACTAAGATTGTTTTTATAATGAATAAAACATCAGTATTCCATATTTGCACCGACTGTATTTGTTAGTTGAAAAGCCTAACTTCTCGATGAACTTTCCTTATCTGGACAGGGAAAAGTTCCCACAGTCTTCCAAAATACTAATTTTAATTCCTAGGAAAGAGAATGCTCAGTATGGCTATTTAGACAAAGAGTAAAACGGAAGCTGAAATCACCCTGAGAGATAAGAAACAACCAGTTAGTATACTTTCAGGAAGTGCCTGTATGTAAAACAAATTTCGTTATAATTCAGATTTCTCCCTATGAAAACACTATAGGTTTTTCTAATTGCTTCGCAAAATATATATCCTTTGATAGTCTTAAAATATTTCCTTAGGGTCAAAAATTTACTTTATATGAACTGGGTAAGGCATGTAGGTTACAAATTATACATAACAGACAAAAGCCAAATTTGTGGCTCATGTGAGTCAAATGAAGGCTTTACAAGGTCAGCCTTTAATGATATTACTAATAAAAAGGAAAATATAATTTTCAAAGCATTTTAGTCAACTTCTCCTATACAGTAATTGACCTATATTTTTAAAGGTACTTTTCAGAGACAAAAAGTGGATATCTAATATGACTCAAAGCCAACAAATGTTTTAATTTTCATGAGGAACTATTGGATAATTTCATTTTATTAAGCATATTGTACATCTGAGTGATCGCAAGTTATCTATTTTAAAAAAAGAAAGGCCATGAGCAGTTGAGGAAGTTAAATAAACAGGATTTTACCATTTGGGAATTCTTTTTTAACATCAGGAGCTGACTTCCTTACATATTTCCATGTTTGAAATCATGTGTTTAAAGATGTTAAAGAAGGTGAGAGGTGGAGGGAAGTCAACATGACTGACCTTCTGAATTCTCTTAAATACTTATAAAATCTCTTACAAAGAATCAAGGTTAAATCTTAGTTTAAAAAATTCACTGAGTTTTTAAAAAATTTAAATTAAATTAAATTAAGTTAAATTTTATTATTTCTTTTTTGAGAGAGAAAGAGTAAGAGAGTGAGCGAGTGCTGGTGAGCAGGGGAGGGGAGGAAGGAGAGAATCTCAAGCAGCCTCCACACCCAACGCAGGGCTTGATCTCACAATTGTGAGGTAAGATCATAACCTGAGCTGAAATCAAGAGTGGGACACCTAACTGACTCAGCCACCCAGATATCCCTTTTTTTTTTTTTTTTAAATGTTTCCTTTGTTTATCTGTTTATTAAAGGACTAATCATAAAGTAGGATGTACACCTTTCTGGTCACGTTAAACAGACTGCAGGGATATTCATGAAGGAAGTGACGTGGCTCGTTGACAAATCTTGCCTTTAGCAACTCCATCAAAGCAGAGGGGGCGGATATTTCAGAACTGCCACAGGAAGTATTTGCCGTAAACACAGAAACAACACATGTGGTTTAACAGCCACGGGCACTACAGGAAACCTGCCTGGCTAGCCAGTGTTGCCCAGAGCATCTCAGGGATGAGCTAAAGGGGGAAGACAAAGAAGCACTAAGACATGAGCAACTGGAAAATTATATCCTTGAGTCATTGATTCAGATAAACTAGGTTAAAAAAGCCAAATGTTTGGGGCATGTGGGTGGCTCAGTTGGTTGAGCCTCTGACCCTCGATTTTGGCTCAGGTCAGTCTCTCACCGTTTGTGACTTCAAGCCCCACATGGGGCTCTCCACTGATAAGTGTGGAGCCCACTTGGGATTCTTTCCCTCCTTCTCTCTCTGCCACTATCTCAATCTCTCCTTTTCAAAATAAATAAACCTAAAGCCAAATATTTTTTGTGGGTTTCCCATGGTTTTAGAAGGGTGTTTTTAACAAATGAAAATGTATTTATACAGTTACTTTGAAATCAAAAAAATAACATCGATCAATGCAAGGACAGATATGTGATAAAGCAAAATGTGATGAAATATTAATGACAAATTATAAATAGTACATGTATAGTAAACATAATTGTTTATCATAAAATTCAGTTTTTCTCTGTATTTAAAAAATTTCATAATAAAATGTCAGAAAAAAATACACATAGCACTCAGTGGCCTAAGACTTGTTTTCTCTATAGAATATACAGGTTATAGTCATAGCTAAATAGATATGTGTCTTCCATCCCTGCCCTGTAAAAGATGTTCCATGAGTTTCTCTTTTCCTGATAGGCAAACATTGACCTTTCAAGCACAAAAACTTGCTTTCCATTTTAACAATATTAAGGAATTGGCTCTAAAATGTACAACTAAACCTAACCTTTTATGTTTTTTAAAAAAGCCTAGATGCAGTAAAATAGGGCAGAGATGGAATAAGATGTGTTACGGTGAGTGGTAAACTAAGAAATAAAATGCGCCTGTGGTGTCCACTCAAAGTGACCTGCACCAACTGCCACATGACTCATGTGTATGAAACTAATGATGACCGTGGATTTTATAGCTGCTGAATTAGTTTATGCTGTGAATGAATTCCCTAGTCTGTCAAGGAAAGATGACCTAGTTAAAACAAGTGTCCTTAAAAAAAAAAGCGCTATGTCACACAGACTTTTCTTTAAATAATCAGTCATACCGCTTTTGAATAAAAGTGGAGATGAAATAAACAAAGACGAGTCATCTATGCAGAAGAGCCCAGAGGCACACAGGGGCTGAGTCCAGTATGACACTCAGTTCCCCAGGACTGCTTAGTGGATTGCTCCGGATTGACCTCTACCACTTCTCTCTTCTGCTTCCCTTGGCCATACAATATTATGTCAGGAGATCATAAGCCAGTTATCAGTCTCTCCAGACTGGAAATGTGTCTTTTGTTTCCAGAATAAGCATGGTTAGATAAACTAAGAAGGAAGTAAAAACGGGCTGGAGTCAAATCTGAAGTTGACTTTGGCGTTTCCCTCTTCCCTGACCTCCAGGAAAACGGGGTATAGAAGCCAAGGCAGCACTTAAGATCAATGTGCGATAAATTTCTACATCTACAAAACAGTTCCTCAAATAACCAAACACCAATGTGGTTTGGCACTATTTGTCTCACAGAAGCAGAAGAGAATTACCCAGAATTCACTCTTCTTGTTTTTTTTTTTTTCTTTTCTCCAGGTATTGCATCAGGCATCCAATAAGACATAATCTTTGTGTTAAATTTAGGGGTGTACAGTCTGCTCTTGAGCTTACCTAAAATTTAATTCAAGCAATATTTTCCAGGGACCTACTACCAAAAACCATGAGCTTTTTTTGGTTTTGGGTTGTTGTCAAAATTAGATGTTGCTTTCATCCTTCCTCATAAAACTAAAACACAATTTTATTTGCTTTTCTAGCCATGGCTTTTTCCATCTACATACTGGCTCTTCTACACACTGATGGTCACATTAAGTCCTTCTTTGGGTTCTACTCCAGGTTTGCTCACAAACAGCCAGAAAAAAACATTCCAAGGAAAGAATACCATAGACTGGCAATTCCCCTTACTGTTCAGTCTCTGCTGTTGGGTTCTGTTAATAATGGCAACTGTAGTATAAATGTACTATTAAAATCTTTCATTCCTGGGGCACCTATGTGGCCCACTCGGTTATACATCTGACTCTTGATCTCAGCTCAGATCAAGATTCTTGAAGGTCGTTGGGGCGCCTGGGTGGCTTAGTCGGTTAAGCGTCCGACTTTCGCTTAGGTCATGACATCGCGGTTCATGGGTTCGAGCCCCGCATCAGGCTCTGTGCTGACTGCCAGCTCAGAGCCTGGAGCCTGTTTCAGAGTCTGTGTCTCCCTCTCTCTCTGACCCTCCCCTGCTCATGCTGTCTCTCTCTCTCTCCTAGAAATAAATAAAACATTTAAAAAAAAAAAAAAGATTCTTGAAGGTCGTGAGTTCGAGCCCTGCATTGGACTCTGTGCGATGGTGTGGAGCCTGCTTGGGATTCCGTCTCCCTCTCTCTCTGCCCCTCCCCCACTTCTCTCCCCACTCTTTTCTCTCTAAAAGTGAATAAATAAACTTAAAAAAATTCTTTCATTCCTTAGGGAAAGAAAACAAGTCAGATTGAAAAATGGGGATCATCCAGACAAGAATTAATTCTAAAAGCCTGATTGAAAAATTTTTGATTTCCAGCATGCCTGTAGCTTACTACTATTGCAGTTCTGTCCACACCTATACCCAGCCCTGATCTTTTTTATATTTCATACAATAAAAAGCTCTTTTGAAACTGGGTTAATAATATATAAAACTGCAGCTAGGCTCAATTTAAAAATATCCATTACTTAAGTCACTGTGGTTGGTAACCACATCGATACACTATATAACGACAAACTGTGCTTCTCTTAGTTTTATAGCTTTAACATACGAACTCCAGTGAAGTTGTACTGGACTAGTGAGTAAGAAATAAAGTCAAAGAAAACAGAAGGGAAAAGAGAATGGGAAAATAAAGTAGGAAAATGAATGGAGAACTCCTTAACGGCTGAGAAATTATAAATAACTCAAAAGGGAAACAGAGTTCTCATAACAAAGGAAAATGAAAAGAGCTCAAGAATTTCTTTTACCATAATTCTGTTTTAAATTGAGTCATTTGTTAAACCTGGCAATAAACTGTATTATTAATAATAATATAGGAATGTTTGATTTATATCCTTTGGGATTCTTTGGCCTTTTCTTTGACATTTATTTGCAAGCAAACTAGAGCATTTTCTTCTATTTAACATTTGGGTAAAAGAATACATGGACTATATCTCATCTTTCTTAAAAACAACTGTCACAAGCATAACTCTGGTCTAAGGGATATAAGGCTCAAAGTCATAAAATGAAATAAACCTTCAGGAAATTTTTTAAAATGCTTATTTATTTATTTTGGGGGGGGGAGGGGCAGAGAGAGAGGGAAAGAGAACCCCAGGCAGGCTGCAGACTATTGGCACAGAGCCACACACAGGGCTTGATCTCACCAACCATGAGATCATGACCTGAGCGGAAATCAAGAGTTGGATGCTTAACTGAGCTACCCAGGTACTTCATTTTTTAAAATTATATACAAATGTGATCTAAATGAGCCATTTTAAACATTTGTGAATAAACATATTGATGTTTCCTACTGATAAATGGTTCATCTCTAAAGGGAGCTTGTTAATGGTTACAAGAGGAATCACCGTATAAGATACTCACGTTTTAGGATATTTCTTTGCTCTAGTTCTTCAGTTGTAGGCCTCTGGCTAAGTCTCCTATGATGACAAAAAGGATATATTGCAAGTTAAAAACAAGACCTCCTTGGTGGGAAATGTGAAATGTAGTAACAAAGAAACAAAGCTTTATTCTTTTCCTGTTTTAAGAAACAGAAATCCATTTAATACCTACAAAATAAAAGTATCCTTTCTGTTAGTCTGGAGACTAAAGATTGTGGCTGAGACTGCTACCTACTCCCCCTGATCCATTCTTCCTCCTTCCTTTTAGACACAGAATTTCCTGAGCTGTGGCTGTGGGCCCCCCCCAACTACAGACTTCTGTCTCTCTAGCAGCAAGGTGTGGCTTTGTGACCGAGTCCTTGCAATGGGATATGAGAAGAGTGGTATCTGTAACTTCTGCTTTTTACCCTTAAAATGACTATTCCCTTTTCTTTCTTGCCCTTCTCCATGGGCTAGAACTCAAACATGGTCACATGAGCCAGCCTGGGTCACGCATGGGGATAGAAGAGCAACAGGCGCCTGGGGGACTCAGTCGGTTAAGCAGCCAACTTCAGCTCAGGTCATGATCTCGCAGTCTCTAGGTTCGAGCCCTGCATCGGGCTCTGTGCTGGCTCTATGTCTCCCTCTCTGTCTGCCTCTCCCCTGCTTACTCTGTCTCTGTCTCTCTCAAAAATAATAAACATTAAAAAAATTAAAAAAAAAAAAAAAAGGAAGAGCAACAGGATAGAAAGAATCTGAGTGTTGGCTGACTGTAAGGAGTGGGTGGGGTGTCCCACCCATCCTGGATAGCCTACCTACCTCTGGACTGTTATGTGAAAAGGAAATAAACATGTGGAAGTGTCTTATTTGGACCACTGCACTTTTTGACCTCTGTTAGAATAGCCTAGCCTGTCCCCTAATTAATAACAGATCATTAGAATCTAAAGACGTCTTCTGCTTAAGAATTCATACTAACTCAAAAGACTGTTGATCTACAATGGACAGTATAGTATTTCCCGTGAAACACTGCTTTTGTGACCTCAAATGGATTTATAACACACGTAGTAGAGTTATTTTAAGATATATGGACCCTTCTTACCTGCCTTAAGAAAAGCCAGGTTCATTTTTAATTTTTTTTTGTTTTTTTGAGAGAGAGACAGAGAGACACAGAGAGAGCACACATGTGTGTGAGAGTGGGAGAAGGGCACAGGGAGAGGTAGAGAGAGAGTCTTAAGCAGTCTCCATGACCAGAAAGGAGCCCAAATCAGGGCTCAAGATAATGACCCTGAGATAATGATCTGAGCTGAAATCAAGAGTCAAACGCTTAACCTACTGAGCCACCCAAGCGTCCCAAGCCAGGCTCATTTGCGACTAGTAGCTACTTATTTGTACACAAAAGCTGAAAGTCCTAACAACACTCTATAACTTTTCTTGGTCTTGTTTATAGTGTTAGTTTTTTGTTAATTACAGAAAAAAATTCTTCTGGATATAGGTTGAGTTTTCACAAATTAAACTAATGTCTATGAGAGGTAATCTTACTTTAAGATACTATGAATTCTCAATGTTCCAGCTGTGGCAGGAATGGCGTGAGGAACTGAAATCAATTATATTTTCAAGACCACTTTAAAAATTTTGTTAAAGTTTAATCTTCATCAAAACCACCTTGAAAATAACTTGCATAATTGAGTCTACAAAAGAACCCAGTGAACTACCATGTCAGCCACCCAAGTACTCCGTTACATACCTGAACTATCTCATCCACCAAAGACCTCCTCCTCCTTTTGCTTATGGAGTTCCCTCCCTCAGGAATGCCTTTCTCTTTCTCTACCTATAGAAATCCTACAAATGACTACAATAGTCCCCTTTGGTTGGGTGTCTGACCTGTCCTGTCCTATCCTGTGACTTCTCTGCCCCTAGACAGCAGTCATACACAGATCCCATATCTATTAGACCACTTACCACACAAGTAATAATAAAGATAAGACAATAATCATAGCTCTCGTTACCTCATACTTTTAAAGTCCTGGGTACTGTGCTAGATGCTTAATTATCGTGGATCCTCAAAACAACTCAGCAAGGGAGTAGCCAGTTCTCATTTTACAAATGAGGAAATGAAAGATTAAGTCACTTGCTTCAGATCAAGTACTAGTGAAAGTTAGAGCAAGGTCTCATACCTAGTTCTCTTGACCTACATGTTGGTGCTTTTCACATGACCTCAACCATGGAGTATCTCATTCTGTCTCTTCCACGACACATGGGAGTTCCATCAGGTAGGGACTGTGGGTGATTTATCTCTAATGACCGTGATCAGGTGCGCAGTATTTATAGAAAAACAATTCTGTAAAATTTATATATTTAAAACTCTACTAGATAAGGTATTTTCTAGATATGGTCTATATGTATACTTTCAGACACTCTCAAGCTTTGGGGGGTTGGGGTAGAATCCTTATATAAAACAGAAGAGGGTGTTCTGGTTGGAAGGTTAAGCTTGGAATGAAGGAGTCCCTCCCATCCCACCCCAAACACACCCCCACACTGCCCTGGAACCCCCCCCATAGAAGCCAGAGTAACCCCTCCAAGAAATCCTTAAGGAGGCAGTGAGAAGTCACTGTTCTATGATCACTTCGCAACGTCCTTCATCAGCGCCCTGTTTCTGAGCATTTGGTTTGTTTTATTTGTCACTGCTATAAATAGCCTTAAACATCTTTGTAAAATATACAGGTTTGCTTTTTTTCCGTTTTGGATTATTTCCTTCTTGTATATTCTTTCAAATGAAATTACCATGTAAAACAATAGACTGCTGTACAATTTCTTTTCTTCCACATTGTTAAATTGTTCTTCAGAAATACTGAACAGAGTTGCCGATTTTGGGTTTAATTTTTAAAAATGCTTTACCTGTTTCAGATATATGTAATGACTTAAATCAATAATGAAAAGATTTAATTTTATTAAGAGCATGCTACGATTCAGGCACTCAAGTGCCTTCAGTGTATCATCTCATTTACCCACCCAAGCCATTGCCTGGACCCATGTGTCAAACAGGTAACAGCCTCCAGAGCCCCCACATGCCAGCCCTGTAGGTACAACAAAGTCAGAGAAATCTTCCACTTCTAAGCAAGGAGAGGGATTTCTTCCACCTCCAAATCCTGCCCTGGGACCGCAGCCTGCTCCATTCTCCCAAATGATGCATTGTGCTGCTTACGCAGAGTGAGAGAAGTCAGCAAAACTGCTCATACTAAAAGACGCTTAAAGTCATCATCGAAAACAAGGGCTTGGGCACTCACTTCTACTAAAACTGACAGTTAAGGGCGCTTGGGTGGCTCAGTCATTAAGCATCTGACTTCGGCTTAGGTCATGATCGCACAGTTGGTGAGTTTGAGTCCCACGTCAGGTAAGCATACGCTCCACTTTGGGTAAGCTTGTGCTTCACTTCTGGTGAACATGAGCCATGTTTCAGGTGAGCATGAGCCCTGGATGTGCTCTACTTTTGTCTCTCTCTCTTCCCCTCCCTCTCTTTCTCTGCCCCTTGCCCACTTGCACCCTCTCTCAAAAAACAAAAACAAAACAAAACAAAAAAACTGCCAGTTAAATGGACTTCCAAAGTCACTGGTGACAAAAGTAGAAACCCTATAATGGCTGGAGGCAGAAAGAGAAATCAGATAACCATTTATTTGAAGAAAAAAGGGGGAGGTTTTAATAGGAAGGGCTTGGACTTGGATGGAGCAGGACATTAAAGCTAACTAATATTTCTACAATCTCAAGGCCCGTAGGGCAGAGCTTCATGGCAATCATAGGAGCGTCAGAGAGTCTGTGGATTAGGCCAGGAGTTGACCAATGTATTACCTGCAGGCCAAGTCCAGCTTGCTGTCTGTTTTGGTGAATAAAGTTTTATTGGAACACAGCCACACCCATTTATCTATGTATTGTTTATGGCTGCTTTCATGCTATACCAGCACAGTTGAATAGCTGCAACAGAGACCTTCTGGCCAGCAAAATCTGAAATATTTACAAACTGGTCCTTAACAGAGAAAAATTTTTGACACTTGGCTCAGGCTTTGGTGACCCCAAAGCTGCTGATTGGTTGGACCAAAGGGCAAGTTACTTGAGTAGGTTCACCATCCAGGACCAACTTTAGAAAACCACACAGGCCATGCATGCCCTTATCCAAGGAATTCAAAATGATCTCAGTCGGGCAGGAAACCGCAGAAGGGAGAAAAGTATGAATTGGTCACCGCTATACTAAAATTTCAGACATTACCTGACAAGCTTGGTTCCAATTTGCTGCCGGATTTCCTGCCTCTCCTCTTCAGATGTGCGCTGCAAGATGTTTTTGTCTTCTAGTTCCTTTTTAGATGGTCTGTTGCCAAGTTTGATAGCAAGAGTATCCCTTCGTCGTATTTTACTTGCCAAAGCACCTGAGGATTGGAAAAGGAAGAAACGCAGAGAAAGAGGCTTTTAGCAAGCAGCACTCGGGTTACATATGGCATGGGCTTTAAACAGAGTCCAGAAGAAATTCTTTGTCCACATGCAAGAGTGGAATTTTAATTAACCTCAGGAAAAGAAAAAAACCCAATTTTGAGTTGGATATAGTTCATTTTGGAAAACTGAAGCACTATTTTTAAAAATGTTCTGAAAAAAATGTTGGGGCACCATGAAAAAACTCGCAAGTGTCACCTCATCATTTGGAAAGTGGTATTTGAAGTTTATTTTGCTGAGACCGCGTATCATGGAAATTACCGATTGTGTAATGCCTTCTTTTTTAAGTCTTAAAAACTCAGCTACCTTGTACTGTACAGTAAACTCTTGTCTTCTTCTTTCTTCCACTTAGAAATCATGCTGGAAACAGTTTACCAATGGTAGCAGTGTCTTTAATCCTTAAATAGCAAGAATCCCTAATATCTCAACTGAGGATAGTTAGTAACAGGTGGATGAGGAGGATTTTGTTGTTGTTCGGTACAAATTAGAAGGAATTTGACGAACTGATATTCAATCACTAACAGCTTTCCACAATGTGTAAATTCAATCCCACAGTGAATTCCTCCTAAGTCATGATGTTCATAAGTTAAAAAAAAAAAAAAAAAAAAACACTTCTACTTTCTGAAGTTATAGATGAATGGTTGGCTTAATCTACTGTACTGTCATTCCTTTCTAGAAGGTATCCTATCCTATTGCGGAAGAGTTGATTGTTTTGAAAAGGTATTTGTCATTCTTGACTCATTCCTCCTTCTCCTCTCTTTAAACCCAATTATAAAACTGAGTGGAAGTCTCAAACACCTCCAATAAGTAATCCAGTGAATCCTGAATTTATACTTTTTATTCAAGAAAGATTTCAGGGTGGAAAAGCCATCTCTGACCATCCAAACTGCCTCTGTCATTAGAAAGCTTTGATTCCTTGTGCAAATACAAATGCGTGTATCTTCCTCATAGACAAAGACCTGACCCTCTGGCCTCTGTGGAATCCTTAACTAGAAAGGTCTGTCATCAAAAGTTAAACCTTAGACACAGACATTTCTAATAAGAGAAAAGAATATGAGGGGAAAGAAAACACCAGATATCTGATGGCTCATGGCTCTTGTTCTTTACAAAATGCACCTGCTTCTGTCCACCGCTCACTTTCCTCCCCACCTCTTGAAAACAAGTCTTACTTTCGCCACTGCCATCCTCGTCCTCATCCTCTTCATCATCGTCATCGTCAGTGTACAAGACAGGCCCATCGGAGTCAGAGTCATTGGCCTGGTATTCCCTTTGGCCTTCATCCTCCGAGGCACTGAAGGATTCTGAAGATTCTCCCACCAGCCCAGGAGTCAGGAGATGAGGTGCCGCCTTTCCCGGCTCATCTTTGGTTGTAAAACTGTAAAGGCACAACACAGCGATCGGGTGAAGCTCAGAGCCACCTTTGGGGACAACACCAATGCCCTGAGAAGGAGCTCTAGTTTCCTGAGAATCTTTCAAGTTGGTAAAAGGAGAAAGCAGGCCCAGGCAACTTAAGGACAGCGAAATGGCAGAATAGTACTCTATTACTTCATTCTCAAGGTTTTAGACTCTTCATCTGTAAAACGAAAAGGAATGACTAGATGACATCTGACACATTTAGTACGTGAATATGGTAAAACTGGATTTTGCAAACTGATTTTCCTGTAGCAGTGGGGGTTCAGTAGAAAGAACAATGGAGTAGAAGTTCCTGGATATCTGACTTTGTACTTCAGTACCTGTGACTCCTACTCATCCAAGTCTCAGCTAAAGCCATAGCCTCTTCAGGAATCTTTCACTGGCCTTCCATGTAGATCCTTGCCCCTCTTCCCAGCTCCTCAGGTGACCTGAAGATAACCTCACTGGAGCACTGAGCACAGTGCACCTCGACCACCATTCACTCGTCTGCCATCCCAATCCCCAGAGTTCCTTCACATGTGGGATTCATTCATACTGATTTGCAGTCTAGCAACTAGAAGAGTGGTGACATATTCCATTGATATATGAGTTTTCCTACTTTTTAAAAAAATGTTTATTTATTTTTGAGATAGAGAGAGACAGCTTGAGGTGGGGAGGGGCAGAGAGAGAGGGAGACACAGAGTCCTAAGCAAGCTCCAGGATCCGAGCTGTCAGCACAGAGCCTGACGCGGGGCTCAAACCCATGAACCATGAGATTATGACCCGAGCTGAAGTCAGATGCTTAACCAACTGAGCCACCCAGGCGCCCCGAATTTTCCTACTCTTATCACAGCCAATGTGTCAAGTCAAAAAAATCATACATCCTCTGTGAGATGCTTTAGTTTCCCCATTTGTAAAACTGTTTCTCACAGGAATATGTTAGTAACGCGAGATGGAAAAGGTGGAAGTTAAATGGACTCTATCGAAGAAAGGACTCTATAGAAGATGTGTATGGATGCAATAATCTTCTATTATTGAAGCTTGGTAAGAGTCTCTGATTTAAAGTTACTACAAATATACGAAGCCTGCCAATTTCCACAGACTAGAATACAAAAAATGCTTTACATCAAAAACATATCAAAACCAACGTAACCTTCATTTTAAAAATCAGGAAATCCTCAAACTGCCTTCTAATAAATAGAATTTATATTTGGAATGTCACATGTCAGAAAGACTGCTTCATGCAAAACATGTGCTTACTGTTTTCATTAACTTAAAAAACCAAAAAACAGTTCTATGAGTAATAAAAATAGGTAAACACTGTCAGAATCTCAGGTATGGACAATTGCACTCTGTGGTGATAAGTCTAAGCACTCTAGAAACTCTCTATTTTTCATTTATTAGAAAACTCCAACAGCTAAAATTCTCATTTTCAAGGGGGAAAATATGAAATTTCATTTTTTTATTGTGTAAAATATGCACGGCATAAACTTAACCATTCAATGGAATACTACTTGGCAATGAGAAAGAATGAAATCATGCCATTTGCAGCAATATGGATGGAACTGGAAGGTATTATGCTGAGCGAAATTAAGTCAGTCAGAGAAAGACAGATGTCATATGTTTTCACTCATATGTGGATCTTGAGAAACTGAACAGAAGACCATGGAGGAAGAAAGGGGAAAAAGTAGTTACAAACAGAGAGGGAGGGAGGCAGACCACAAGAGACTCTTAAATACAGAGAACAAACTGGGGGTGATTGGGGGTGGGGGAGAGGTGAAAATGGGTGATGGGCATTGAGGAGGGCACTTGGGATGAGCACTGGGTGTTGTATGGAAGCCAATTTGACACTAAATTATATTCATAAAATAAGATAATAAATTCCTATTGTTTTAAGCCAAAAAATAATAAAAAATTAAAATGTATAGTTCAGTGGCACCAAGTACGCTTACGCTGCTGTATAAACACCTCCACCAACCATCTGAGAACCTCTGCCATCTTGCCAAACAGAAACTGTCCCATTCAACCCTAATTCCCCATTCTCATCCCCAAGCCCCTGGCAACCACCATTTTACTCTCTGTCTCTATGAATTTTGCTAGTTTAGGTGATTTACGTAAGTGAAATCTTGCAACATCTGTCTTTTTGTGTCTAACCTCTAATTTGCAGATCTTTCACTTTCATCCACGTTTTCATATATGCCAGAATTTCTTTTCTTTTAAGTCTATTCTGAATAATATTCCATTGTACCACATTTTGTTTACCTACTCATCAGTCAGTGAACATTTGGGCTATTTCTACCTTTCAGTTGCTGTAATAATGCTGCTATGAACACCAGTGTACACATATCTATTCAAGTACCTACTTTTAATTTAACTTAATTTTGTTTTTATTTTTATTTTTTTGCTATGTACACAGTAGTAGAATTGGTGGATTACATAGTAATTCTAAGTTTAATTTTTTGAGGAGCCATCATACTGTTTCTACAGTGTGAAATCTCATTTTAAATGTGGGAAAACTTTTCTCCACCAGGATGTCTGGCACTGGAGGCCATCCTTATTTGAACAGTCATTGTGGGGGACCACAGCACACTTAATAGATGTGTCAGTTAATAACACAGTCTGAAGAGAGGAACAAAAGATACTTCAGGCCTGAGGCTTGATATTTGCTCATGTCAGTCTTCACTAATTTATTGTGATATCTATCATTTTAACGTCATCATTTGTATTTTATAATGGTTTGTAGCTTTGAAAGACTTTTGCATACATTTACAACTTACGACTGTTCTACAGTATAAGGGGCCAGAGAAGTAGTTATAGTTCATGGAACCCAGTAAAACCATGGGTGTGTTACCCAAAACAAGGTATCAAGTCCCATCTAGAACCCAGACTTAAGACTCTTAATCTATGTATTAAGTGTTATGTATATGATACTATAAGTTACATTAATCTATTATGTATTATGTAGATTATAATTAACTTAGTTATGTAGATTATATTATTATGTAGATTATAATTAACTTAATATTAAATATTAAACTCCAAATTTGTTATCAGTCAACTCATGATTTAGCTTTCACTTCCCCCCGGAGTTTCTTAGGCACATTGGACAAAACAGTGAGCTCAACAAGTGTTTGTGGAAATGGACTGAACACAGTCAAGTCCCCTCTGGATATAGGCTCCAGATGGGTTTATTAGTTTCTGCCTTAAATTATCCCAGACCTATATGATACTAATGAAGTTGCCAATAAATAGAAATCTAACACATGGTTACTACCCTGCAATATGTGAATAGAGGAAGATATTTTTACACATAGCCACTTATCTTCTTTAAAGCTTTGATATTTGTATTCCAAACAGAAGCCTCTTCATGAGATGACAGGATTTTCACACATTCGTTGACTAAACATAACTGAGGGAAAGTTCTAAGTAAAGTAAGTGACTAAGAGCTAGAAATTCTAACTGAAATATCCACTTAAACACAGAAGAAAGAAAAAAAAAACGGAAGAAAAAATTTGGAAGAAAATTTGGGAGACTACTTATTCTAGGCTCATTAACTCCAGAGCAAACAAACCATTCCTGTGGAATGAATTGTAATTTAAAATTTTAACTTTGAAGAATATACAGAGAAGAAAATCTCGATGTCCTCTTCTAGGAAAGGATTCCAGTTATTTGGAGTGACAAGAAAATCTATTATAAATACCTCGATGTCTAATGCTGTCCTAAGCTTGCTCTCTGATCACAGGTTCAGTGGGAGAACAGATACTCACCTCTTCTGTCTGACAATCCTATGCATACTTGGGCTGAAGACTGACATTAAGCTGCCCACATGCACCACAGTGCTTATTAGCACAATATAGGGCCTTCCCTAAATGTTTGAGGAAGTGGACTGGACACAGTCAAGTTACCTTTGCATATGGGCTCTCTCATTGCCTGAGACTATCTAAGCTGTACCTTGTTCTTTAGTTTATTGAATGATAAACTGATATACTCAATCTATTCAGACCTGTCTTAAACAATTGTACTTCTCGTGCACATTAGACATTATCTTAGTAAAAATGAATATTAAGTATAATGACTTGTTTACTTTTTATCATTGATGCTGAGTACACTGCCCAGCACATAGAAGGCAAGTAGAAAATATATACTGAAAAATTGATTCTTGAATTCTGAAGGTTGGAATTCATTGCAATGCTGGAAAACACTCACTATAATTAAATGAAGAAATTTGCTGTGTGCTGGAAGTATTAAGGACATCACAGCCATTCATTTCAATGCTTTCTCCCATATTGTTTTTTTTTTAATTTTTAAAATGTTTTATTTATTTCTGAGAGAGAGAGAGCGTGAGCAGGGGAGCGTCAGAAAGAGAGGGAGACACAGATACTGAAGCAGGCTCCAGGCTCTGAGCTAGCTGTCAGCACAGAGCCCGACATGGGGCTCGAACCCACGAACCGTGAGATCATGACCTGAGCCTAAGTCAGATGCTTAACCGAATGAACCACCCAGGCACCCCTCTCCCATATTGTTTATTAAAATGTCAAACAAATAAAATGATTTGTAATTTAACATTGTTTATCTTGCCTTGGCTTTCCTTTGAACTATGCTGCTCAAAAGGATAAAAACAAAAACAAGAAACAAACAGAAATGAAATTGCAGAAGAAATAGAAGCAACTGCTTTGGAAACGTATAGAGTTTCTTAGAGCATGGAATTCGACACGCAACTCTGAGTGTGCATTCTGGTTTTGCCTCTTACTGAGTGGGGAATTTAGGACAAGCTCTTCTATCTCTCTCAGAGTCCATTTTCTCATCCATTAAACAGAGATATTTCAGAAGACTTATGTGAATTAATGCTAACTTGACAGTGCCTGACGTTAAATAACTATTCAATAAATGAAGGTGATTATTATCAGCAATTAAATAACTAATGCTGATAGTCTCTTGATCCAAATCAACTTAATTAACGTACTAATTTTTTTAAGCCCTAACATGACAGGTTATTTTGAAAGAGAAAATATGAAATTAAAATTATCATGAGAGTGAATTTAGGTTTTATTCTTAGAAGCAGGAGAGAAAAGGTTGGACTTAAGAGCTCTAATGCTTCCCTACACAGAACTGGTTATGATGTCTCTTATACCCAGACAGCCTTCTCTTCATACCTGAGAGGCAGAAGAACTAATGTGTCTTTTTGGCCTGTAAGTAGAAAATGTTTAGGACTCTGGGAGGGATTAGATGCAGGGAACGAAGAGGAATGACGTCTCTTAGGATGAATCCCAGGTTTCTGGCTTGGGCAGCTGGATGATGTCATGTCTATGGCATACCAGATTCTGTACCGGTTGCTGGGGATTCAGAGGCAAACATACAATGTTTAGCTCTGCTCATGAGGAGGAAAAATGGGCTGCCAGAAAAGAGTAGATGCAACAACAAATTCTGTCTGGATGAGTACGGAAATGTGTCAGAGAGGAGGTTAACAGGTGAGTTGGGTGGTGGATTGAGGAAGCAAGAAAGGGCACCCCTCTGAGGCTAGAGGATAAGGAGATGGAATCTGAGAGGTCTTTCCTGATGGTCTTTATTTTCTTAGAGAAAGAGAAGGCTAAATGGCTTGTAATCAAGGTAGGCAGGAATGGGTGAGCAATCTGGACACAAGTTGTAAAGACTTAAAATAACCACTTTTAGGAAAGAAAAGGGAAATGTCCAAGGAAAAGTAAAGGTGCTGCTGAACAATGATGAAGCAGGCTCTAAATACACTTAAAAGCCAAAGATAATAAGTGGTACCTGTCATTAGGAGAGATGTCATTTTCTCCAGTTGCCTGAATCGTTCCTGCGGCGGGGCTATGGAAAACCAATGGTTAGATGGTATGTGTGTTTACCTAATAATCACCGATTAAATTATAAGACAACACCACGGGGGTTGTTTCATTTCCAAAAGAGTGGCTTAGTGACCTTCGGGACTCAACGAAACATGATACAGACAGAACATGGGGTTTTTGCCCCGACTCACCATTTTGCATTTTCTCTGCTAACACTTATGCCAGTGCCTGAGAGGCCAGTGGTTCTGTTGGCTGGCTCTTCGGTCCAGAGAAGCTGACTTGGGTCTAAGGCAGGGACGGGCAGGTCAGCTCCATTGCTGACCAGGACAACAGGTGTGTCTGGGGTAACAGTGCACTGCTGCTCGAGAGTGAGCGGAGGGGCGGGGGGAGGAGGTGGTGGAGCCACGGGGGGTGGAGGGACTGCAGCCTTGGATTTGCCTGTGCTCTGCTCGTCGGTCCCGGGGACAGTCTGCTCAGGTTTGAGACTCTCCACCCTTGTCTCTGAAGGTTCTCCTTTAAGGTCGGACGTGCCAGAAGTGGTTGCATCGGAGGACGGTCGAGAGGCTGGCTGCTTGCCGGTTTTTTTCCTGCCCTTTGTGATTCCCACCGTCCCTGTTTTGCTAGAAAGTGTCTCCTTTGAAGCTTTGGGACGAGATGAGGTGGAGGAAGTAGATGGTGAAGCTGATGCTTTGGACCCAGTTGTTTTTTTTGAATGAGAGGAACCAGCTAAAATAGAGAGAGTTTTCATTAAAAGTCAAAGAAGCCTTTTAAATAAACAAATGAGCTGCAATGGTCAAACCATGATGTTCTCTTTAAAATGTTAACATTTGTTGATTAAAAGGAAATAGGCTAATAATGATAATGGTTATTTTCTGTCCCCTCCCTACCTCAAATCTTGGAGGGAGCCAGTGATGCTGAAGGCAAAACCCTAAGGAACAAGAGTCCTCTCCTAAGGGGACCAGGAGTCTCTCTAGTGTTTTTAGCTGGGTCCAGCCAAAGGGAAATCCACCTTGTCCTATAGTCACCTGAATAAGTCCTTATATGCTCCAAAGAAGGGACATTACAGTGTGCAGAGGACAGACAGCAGCTGTCTGGGTATAGCATAAGGGTGGGCTCATCACATGATGTCTACTTGAGAATGGAGTGGCCCACATTCAGAAATGGCCATGGTATATCCCTCTGGCTCCTTTCTGGGCCTGAAACAAATGTACTCAACTCCAAACCAGTTATCCCCATGGCTCCAGAGAGAGAAGCTCGCCAGGCTGGCCCACACCTCCATCTGCAGTGGTGATGGGCAGATGATGGGCAGATGGGCAGAATGAAAACATATGGCGACTTATGAAAGACAAGTCCCCTTCAAAATATCAAGAGGCAGAAACATTTATTTTTTACAAAAAAATGCTTAAATGGTAGCATCCGAATAACGTGAAGGGAAAGAAGTGTCTTTCTTGGATCTTATGACACTTTCACAAATCCAATCTCCTTACCATTTCTGTTCCTAGAGGGTCTTCGTCAGAGGATGGCTGTGACCACTAGAAGTGGCCTACTTTTCGATAGGATTGCCTTCAACCAAACCATTTGCAGGAAAACAAAGCTTAACTCTGCTTTTCTTTGTATCATTTTGGGAGACACAGTCTTTTGTTTCATGACCTTTACGATCTATAAATTTCTCCTAATTGCTTCTTCTATTGTAATGTTATATGTTCTTCTTCATGAGGGGTTAAACTATCTTCCGCAGAACTATTAGAAAATACCTCCTCATTAGCATCATGGGGCCAATCCACAACAGATGTGACTGTAACTTACCTTTATGCTTATAACTTTATTGAAGTTGATTGGGAGGGTCAAGAGATGAAGAACAAATAAAAGAATAAACAACGAGATGTAAGATGTCATCAACTCTGATATACTAAAAAAAAAAAGTGAGTTTCACTTGGTGACAAGATACAGGCTTGAAAGAAACCTCTATTCCTTGGGAGTTTTATTAATTTAGATATATACAACTATAATTCATATTACCCCAAGTCTGGGCATGCTAACACTACTTCTTTGAAGCCAACAATCTTCACTGCCTAATAAGACAAAAGTATTAAGCATACTTCTACTATCTAAGTCCCAACAAAGATCTAAGGATTTGATGTGTAAACATGTTCAATTATTTTCTTAGGTAAACTGAATAAATCCCTTTCAGATGAATGTGAATTTTTTTTTAAAGAAAATTCTTTCTTTTAAAACTGCAAAGGTAACTTTAGCTACACTTAAAGGAAAAGACAATTTTTGCAATGCTTAGAGTACAACTTCCAAGTCACACTTTTCTAGATACTTCTTTACATATCTTCTAAAATGACAAGACTTTGCTGAAATCAACCACCTTGCATAAATTACCTCGGATTAAGGCCATGACTAAAAAAATAAAGCCATCTCTCCTCAGTTAAATACTTCTGTATTTACACTGTGTGTAACAATAAGAAAGAAAAAAAATATGGGAGATATGACCTTACTTCACTCACCAAGTGGGTGAATGTGCTAAGCCAGTATCTGGTTATCTGGAGGTCTATACTCATTTAGAAACTCAAGAAGAATCTTAACTGATAGCTTTTACAAGAGTTTAAATAATCTGACTAAAAATCAAGAGTTGTATTTGAAGTTATTTTTCTGGAAGGTCAACATTATTCAAGTAAAACAAAGTTATTATGTAGAAAATTCTAAACGGTTACAAATGGAATATTAGTTGGATTCTGAAGGAGTATTATCAACTGTTGATGAAAGGCTCTTTGCACAATGGGCTTGTTGGTATAATTCAATGCAATCTGTTTCTCTGTCATGGCCTAAGAGAAAAGTGACACTGTTATTCACACTATGGGCCAGTGGAACCTCTTTTAATACAGTGGATAATAACATGACTGTAGTATTCTCCTAGGAAGATCATGAATCTACAAATAAGCCTTCAAGTAAAATATCTGGAAATAGCTCGAAATCTCTCATGCAAGCGTCCCCTGCCCGAGCATTAATCACCAGCTTTCTTCTGAGAGAAGTAAGAGAGAGTCTAAGCCGAGTCAATAATGAGCTACTACCACACGGGGCAGGAGGAAATGGGGAAGTCTGTGCAATACCCAAGCATGGGGTGCTTATTAGGGACTTTTCTTTAAGAAGTGGATCACTGCCTGCCTCAATTCAAGCACTGCTCCCAGGGTCTGCTAGGCAGTCTAGGAAATGCAGAGATACCAACAAGAATGGATGCTGCCCTGTGAGGGCAGCTGGTGCCTGAGAAAATGGCCCATAGGCACTGTGAGCACAATGTTCTGAGACAAATCATTTCAGAGCTTTTTAGAAAACACTCAGACACAGGGGGCATCTGGGTGGCTCAGTCGGTTAAGTGTCCGACTTTGGCTCAGGTCATGATCTCACAGTTTGCAGGTTTGAGCTCCTCCTTGGGCTCTGTGCTGACAGCTAGCTCAGAGCCTGGAGCCTGTTTCGGATTCTGTGTCTCCTTCTCTCTCTGACCCTCCCCTGTTCACACTGTCTCTCTCTCCCTCAGAAAAAAATAAAAACATTAAAAAAATTTTAAAAAATGGACATTCAAGGTCAAAGGCTGAAGAGAGGAGCACAGGCAGAGAAATATCTATTTGGATTTGGAGGTCCACTATACTTTCAACTAAACCATTTTCTGAACTTGAGCATGACGGGTATAAATGATGGGGGGGAAAGATCAATATGATGGCATATCCTGGTAACCACTTGCAGGAAAGCTGCTGCTAATTTTAAGGAAAATAAGGTTTGCTATAACACAGGAGAATTTTTATGCATATATTAATGGGAAAAGCCATTTAGGATGTAGACTTTGATTACTGTCCTTTTTAAAGCTGGTAGACATGGTAGCTTCTTTATTCTACCTCACTATAAGGCGGGGACCGCTCCACGATGCATGAAGCATATCTGACTTGAAAGGAAAGTGGGACACACGTTACAAGCAGTTACTGTAGGTCACACAGACAACCTCTGGCAGTGTGCACTTGTGACTCATAAACAGACTACCAGGATGCTGTTCCTTACAACACACTGAAGTCTGGAAAACAGGGTGGAGGGTGGACACTGAGTATGTGACTTTCAACTCGGATGAAATAGCTGTGACTGCATCGTAGAGGGTGGTGGCGTGGAGCTGACCTGAGTGATAGGAATCTTCGTCATTTAACAGTAGTGAAATGACTATGTATGCAGAAAGATTTAAGATATTACGATCCAGCAAAAACGTCAAAGATGTAAGCGTCATATTCTTCTGTGTAACTTAAGGTAATGTGGAAGGAAAACTCAAGCCAAAAAGCCACTCATCAACTCAAATAGGCAGAAGGCCAGTCGATGTGTAAATAACGTCGTATCAGATCACTACCATTCATTAGACACACAACACCCTGAATCCTTCCGCTGGTTCTTACACAGATAGTGGATACTTGGGATGAAAGAGGTCTATTCACCCAAAAACTAATGAGGTCAACTAATTAACTGGCAGACTTTCCTTTGGTAGAGACAGCAACAAAGGAATCTCCTGTGTATTGTCTATGTCAAAACTAAATCCACTGGTGTTACATTCTACGACACCAGACACCAAAAGGTCCATGGTTTCTAGAAGAAGCAATCAGCCCCGCCCCAGAGCCAAACACCCTAGACTGAAGCCCCCAGGGGGCATACTCACCAGCCTCTCGGGTCGTGTTTCGGCTTGCTGGCTTGGGTGGAGGGATGGGGGCCTGCTTACCAGGAGCCTTGGTAATTTTTTTAATAGGAGGCGCTTCGTCACCCTTGGGGCTTGCCCCAGCAGCAGCCTCTTTTGGAAGCCCAGGTGTTTTTTTGTGTTTAGGTTTGGGTTTAGGCTTAGGAAGAGCAGGAGGAGGTGGAGCAGGAGCTGCCGTTGTTTCAGAGTGGTTTTCAGTGTTCTCTACAAATGAGAAAGTGAACAGAAGCACACTGATACAGACACACACCAGAGAAACGGAAGGAGCAAGACATACGGCGACAGTGGCAGGAACACACGGCTGCTTGGCCCCCGAGAACCAGTGTGGGCTCTACACCAGCGCGAGCACAGGTGGGGGTAAAAAGGATCAAAGGTACAAAGGCTGAAAGCCAAACCGGGGTGCACTGTCTGGGTACATTAATCACTCCTGTGATAAAACACACTTGCCCAAGTTACTTTGATGAAGTTCTGCTGAGGATGAGGGTCAAGGTCCACTGCCAGGGGCTGACACCAGCCCTGAAGTCAGTGGCTGCTGGTTGAGGATATGGGCTCGAGGGTGCAATTTAAATGTTAACAAAATCCAAGGGCACCTGGGAGTGGCAGGTCAGTGCACTGCAGTAATGCCATGGGGACTGACAGCGAGGAAATGACTGGACTCCATGACCTTCATGCCTTCTGCATAGAGACGTTCTCTCAGGAGAACTCAAGTCCCCACCAACCAGAAAAGGATTTGAGCTGTGTCTCATTGCGGTTAGAAATCAAATAACTTTGTAAGTTAAGGGAGACTCTGTAGAATCTTCCAGGAAGCACAATGCACTGAAGGATAAACCACTTTCTATGATTACAATATTCTCAAGCTCTCCCAGTAACACAAGGGCGGCTTCCTGCTTCTCAGTCACTTCCTCTGACCTTTTCAAACTGTCACAACTCCAGGTACAGAGGGCGCAGAATCCCGCCAAGTCTCAAATTTGTTTTGTCGTGTAAACACAAGTAACAATTTTGAAAAGCCGAAGGTTGAAATCCATTAAATAAAAATTCATACCTAAAAACAGAAGCCTCTCACGAGATTTTGCCTAACTGCAGGAGAAACGGTTTGAGGCTCTCGTTAGCAAAAGTGGAGATGCAGAGTGTTCATTCATGTACTCACAGCCGTACTGTCTCTAACAGTAGCTCACTGAAATTAAAATAAATTAAAATACAGTTCTTGTCCAAAGAGCTAAGCAGCATTTCTTTAAAAATGGAACACAATTAAAGGAAAAAAAAAATAAGACAGTGTTAGACAAGACCAAGCCTTTACTAGATAAATCCTCCCATTATTGAACGACCAAAAAAGGACTTTATATTAGAATGCATCATATTTTATTATGATTTCTTTCGTCTCATGTCCCATTCTCATGAGTGTAAACTGAGGATTCCCCCCATTTTTTTTGGACTTCATCTCATCAATCCACATATATAACTACCATAAGAATTATTTTTTTTAAATTACTTAAAAAAAAAAAAAAAAAGAGGTGGGCACCTGGGTGGCTCAGTCAGTTGAGCGCCTGACTTCAGCTCAGGTCATGATCTCACAGATCGTGAGTTTGAGCCCCACGTTGGGCTCGCTGCTGTCAGCGGGAAGCCCACTTCCCATCCTCTGTCTCCTTCTCTCTCTGCCCCTCCCCCACTTGCGCGCATGCGTGTGCGGTCTCTCTCTCAAAAAGAAATGAACATTTTTTAAAAATTAAGAAAAAAAGAATGATTCAAGTTATAGTAGTTAATCAATAAAGCCTTTATTTTATCTTCTCCTGGCCATGAAAACTACCATAGTTCTCTCCTGTCACCAAACTTACTCATATTTATGGTCTGCACTACTTATTCAGTATTTCCCAGAGGCTACTTTGTATGTATGTCTTTGTGTTGTATACGTATTGTATCTTTGTAACTAAGTAGTGACTCTCCTAACCTACCTGGTCTGAACCAGAGGGCCACTTACTCACAAAAGTCAGGGTCAAGAACAATACAAGTTGATGGGACACATAAATCACTTCATTTTAACACAGAACATATAAATCTATGTTGACTTGCCACTCTTGTGACGTGGGTCAAAGGCCCACTTGTTACATACTTCTGTAGATGATTCTCTGTAAGATTAGAAGGCTGCATAACGCACCAAAATCAAGCCCAGTAACACCGTCCCTGGTGAGAGCCAAGGACTCCTCTCGGCACCAGGCATCTCCATTCTCTTTCACCCTACAAACCTGCACAGGTCTTTGCCTGTCTGCATAGGCCTATCACTGAAGAACTGACTTCTTTCTACCTAAGGTTTCAAATTCTAAACCTGTGCCCCAAAGAATGCAGTTACTGGGTTTGGGAGGGAGGAGATGGTGGTTCTGTGACAGCTGGGAGTGACAATCCCACCTAGGCTGAAAGTGAACGCACTGAGTGTGAGCCCCCGGTGTTCGTGGATGGGCAGCATCCACACTCTGTCCTCTGCGAACTCTGCCAATGCTCTGTGTATGTTTGTCAGAGGGCGAATACTGAGGTTTATTCTGTGGAGAACTGTATGCAAACTGCATGCTCTTCTGACTCCACTGTAAACTCCTTTTGTCTAAAATGTCATATCCCTTGGGGCGCCTGGGTGGCTCAGTCAGTTAAGCATCCAACTTCGGCTCAAGTCACGATCTCATGGTTCATGACTTTGAGCCCTGCGTTGGGCTCTGTGCTGATGGCTCAGTTTCTGTGTCTCCCTCTCTCTCTGTCTCTCTTTCAAAAATAAATAAATAAACATAAAAAAAGACTTTTTAGGGGCGCCTGGGTGGCTTAGTCGGTTAAGCGTCCGACTTTCGCTTAGGTCATGATCTCGAGGTTAATGGGTTAGAGCCCCGCGTCAGGCTCTGTGCTGACTGCCAGCTCAGAGCCTGGAGCCTGTTTCAGTCTGTGACTCCCTCTCTCTCTGACCCTCCCCTGCTCATGCTGTCTCTCTCTCTCTCTCTCCTAGAAATAAATAAAAAAACATTAAAAAAAAAAAAAAGACTTTTTAAATGTCGTATTCCATTAAACACAATGCTTTAAACATGAGTTTCTATTCAATGAATGAATGTGACTGGCTGATAGTTATTACCAACATGTTAGTAAACAAACTCTCCTTGTATCTGGGAGGTAATGAATGAATGAAGTCATTATATCTTTGATTATTACCACATGATCTGAACGGATGGTGTATGAGTATTATCTTTTCAAGAGGGGGTTAAGGATGGGGTGCCCATTCACTCTGGGTTGATACAGATACTATGTTTCAAAACAGTATGGTCTGCAGGATAGCTGTTTACTATAATTCCAAGTTTGGCTCCTTCCACCCCATGGAATGTTCAGGTCAACACTCGGAGCAAACCTGAGAACAGCATGTGGCCCTCACCTTACCTAGAAGGCACCTTTGCTCTTATTCCTCTCCTTCACATGACTACCTCCTTGTCTCCTTCAGGTCTTAGTTTGGAAATGTCTGCTTCTAAGAACCAAATGTGGTTCTCACCGCAAACTTTTTGGCTCCCTGTACTCAGGTGTTTTGATGCTGGTCTACTGGGGCCACAATCTGCTTAAAGTCAAAGGGCATTTCTGACTCACCATCTGTTTTCTAGCCCCAGCAAAGTCTTACCCATGGTAGACCTTCATTCTTCTTTGTGGAACAAATGCATGTCAATCACTTGTTATTTCACTGAAAGTGCTCTATAATACCTCAATGGATATAATATCAAATAAGTTTCAGATTTCTTATATTTAATACCAATCTATCTTTAACACAGTACAGATCAGTTTTTCCCATATATTTAAAGGCACTTATATATTTAAAGGCACTGACAGAGAAAGAATAGTAGGAGACTAAAAGCCCTGAAGGTCTTAAGGGAAAAGTCCCCAGTGTTGGACATCGGAGGCCCAAGTACCAACTCGAGATTCCGGTGCAGACCAGAGCCTCAGGAACACCCAAGTGTCCTGGGCAGAACCCACACTCGGTGTAATGGAAAGGGCACTTGCCATGTATTTTGTTTTCTTTGATACTGATGTTTCAACTCTTAAAATACAGACAGGTTATCTTAAAAAGGGGTACAAGCATTGGGACTTTAAAGGCACATGATTTTGGAAATATAACTAATTGACAGATGAAATAACACGCTTGGAAAAATTGGCTTCACGTGAAAGCAGAGGGCACATTTTACCCGCCAAAAGGCAATTAAGATTAATTACATGGGATTGTGGATTTGCAAGGTAGTGAGACCATGAGAAAAGCAGAAGGGAAAGTGAATCTTCGGTTGTTGCCTGGAATTAAATGGTGTCTTTGCAGAGAAATAAATGGTGACCTTGGTTTATGAGGTATTTTCTATTTAACCTAACACTGTGTAATGTGAGTTATGAGTGACGTTCTTTCTTATTCTCCGGAAGGAGCTTCCACACCGAATGCTTCCCACCACTCGCGGCGTAGCTCTGGCTAGATGCACCATCCACAGTGAGGGGGAGGCTTCACTGCCTTATTAGTGATTCGGCAGCGTGTCTAGCATTTTTATCTCTTCAGGTACAGACTAGCTGAGCAAGATGCCGTCTGGATCCTATTTGACCCAAAAGAACTGGATGTACTAAGTAAAGAATAAGAAAGCAAAGACACTCTCAAATATCCATGGACCTATGACTATGAGGCTTGCCATCTTTTTAGAGCATCAAGGCCTGCTGGCTTTATTAACATAAAACTGTCAGCAACTTTTTATTAGGTTGATAACAGAAACACTTCTTTTGAAGTTTGGAAGTCAGTCCAATGACTGACTGACATGCCACATGGACCAGGCAAACACTCACGATGAATTGTTACATAATGAAGGGTGTGATTTTTCTCTCTTTCTTTTTTTTTAGGGTGTGATTCTTGAATGTGAAAAGACTATCAGGGACAAACCACAGATGGATTTGAAATTTAACAGTTTGGTGAAACAGGACAGTTGGACTTAAAAAAAATCACTATTTGCATGAATACTTTCAAATTAATCCCCATGAAATCTATTTAGGTCTATTTTCTCTTTATGTTCCAGGAATATTATCATTAAAAATACTAATCTCTTATAACCAGTACTTATAAGCTTAACCAGAGTCTTTCGATGGAACAAGACTACGTAAAACCCCACGAATACTATACTTAATACTGAAAAAAGCAAAATAATAAATTTCTAACAGATTGTTAACAAGGCTTCTAAAACTTTTACAGGCAAATTTATATGCAAACAAGGGGTGATGGATTTTCAGAGAAGATAATTTTAAGTTACAATATCTGTCAAATGCCCTTTTGTTTTTTGGGGTTTTTTTTTTTTTTGGTCTTTGAAGGATTTGGGTCAAGAACAGAGGAAGAGATTTGCTTTCAACAGTTTCTAAGAAACTACAGAACTTAAGCTGGGTCTGACAAATTTTTGCCATTCAACTCATAGGCAGACATTATAGAACAGGAAATAGTCTGACTCCTAAGGACTGGTTTCTGTGCTGCATGGAATCATCTAGAACCAGTGACTAGGAACTTGTGAATGTCTTGAGGGGTCCTTGATAGACAGATATTGTGCTGCTATCTTAACCGACCATAGCCATATTCACTCTAGAAACCAAGGTCTTTAAAGAAGCCTTCAGAGAATGGCATCATTGCCCCGGCATATGTTGAAATTTCCAATTACACAGACAAATCATAAAGCGGGTCTCTGTGGTTAATTCGGTAACCACAATCCCCAGCGTCTCAGGGAACTATTGCTGGGTCTCTCTCAGACATGGCTAGAACCTGGACTAGGGCCTACGACACTGGGTGTCTGGATGCCGCCAGCCACGTGCCCACCATTGGAGAGCCATGCTATGCTGAAAGAATTATCTTGCTTTTGATGCTCCTCCACACTGACATGCTCAGAGGGGTCAGCTCTAACCAGTAAAAAAGACAGTCACACTGAAGCCATTTTTTCTTAAAAGAAAAAAAAAATAATAATAATACCGAGAAGGAGTTTCTGATGGGGGCATCTGGATGGCTCAACTGGTTAAGCATCTGACTCTTGCTTTCAGCTCAGGTCACGATCTCACAGTTCATGTGATCAAGCCCTATGTCAGCTCTGTGCTAACAGCACGGAGTCTGCTTGTAATTCCCTCTCTCTCCCTCTCTCTCTGCCCCTGCTCCACTTGTGTACTCTCTCTCTTTCAAAATAAATAAATAAACTTAAAAAAAAAAAAAAAGCTCCCGAGAAAAGGATAATATTCCCAGAAAGGGGGTGTCTGGGTGGCTCAGATGGTTAAGTTTCTGACTTTGGCTCAGGTCATGATCTCACAGTTTGTGGGTTTGAGCCCTACCTCAGGCTCTGTGCTGACAGCTCAGAGCTTGGATCCTCCTGCTTTGCATTCTGTGTCTCCTTCTCTCTCTGCCCCTCCCCCGCTTGTATTCGGTCTCTCTCAAAAATAAACATTAAAAAAAAAATTCCCAGATCTCTAATGATTGAAGAGACTATCCCTTCTGATTACTACTGCTAATTGATGCTTGATTGTTAATTAATTAAATAAAAAATAAATGATGTACTTACAAAATGGATGCACCTACCTAAGAAAATCATCCTATTTCTCTCCACTAGTTATAATTTCTCTCTTCTTTGTATTTGCAAACCTGTTCTCTAACTGGTCTTAAGAATCACTGTTTGGAGCCTAAGACCTGATTCTCAATATTGAGCTGCATTGAAGTAAAAGAATACGGCGGGGTTTCTCTTGATTTTACCTTTCTTATCTTCTGCCTTTTCCTCCAGAGGTGGCGCTTTTTCAGCTACACAGCCATTACCTTCTTCAGTTTTTACTACATTTTCCTCTCGGGTAGATTCCTCTCCGATGGGTATCATGTGCCCGTTTGAATTTTCAAAGTTAACTGTTACATCTCCATCTAAAATGGGGAAAGAAACACCTAGATGTCTAACTTGATGGTTTTCTTAAAACCCAGCTTTCCAGTTATTAGGAGTGTAGGGTTTGGGTTCATGTGTCAGGCCTTGGGAACCAAATACATCCTGTGTTGTTTCACCATGTTTTAGTAAATAATGTATTCAAACGAAAGAGCTAGGAAATCCTTAGTCTTGGGGGAAAACAGTATTGGGGGATGTCCACATATTATTATCCTAATCATAAAATACCCCAGGGCAGCAGAGCCCTTCTCTTCTTGCACTTAGGTTTTGTTGAAGTCAGGACTTGGGAGTCTGTCATTCAGACACTGAACGGTTAAAGGAGAAATCTGAAAAAATGGAATAAACATTTTAACAAGCACTAAAAACACAAGGTGACTATAAATACACAACACAAAATGTAGTTACACACACAAATGATTAGAGGCAGAATATGAAAATTTCCCACTTCCACTGTCTCCAGATTGTTGCATCTGTGATATGCTAACTTTACATAGAAATATAACTGCCACTCTGTATTCAGGAAAAGCTGGTAGTGAGGCTAATTTTGTTTTCATTTTCTCAGTTATGGAAATATTAAAATGTAGTCAGGTCATCGTTACATATAACTGGCTAAAAGCCTTTAATGTGACCTAATAATCTGAAAACATTAGGGGAAAAAAACATGTAAAAAAAAGTAATTACAAAGTAACATTTTTTACAAATCACAACTGAAAATAAGATTTCTAATATGTTATCTAAATCAGGAATAACTAATTTTATCGCTGAACTATCATAATTTCTAGAAGCTTCTAAAGTGAATGATATTTTGCATAAACCCTTAATTCAGTGATATCTGAAAAGATTAACCTTAGGTCATATATGGAACGTTTCAAGAGGCTTTGCTACCATTGTAAAAATTAATAATAATAATAAATAGTTGAAGTTTTGACTTTGCAAACTTGAAGAACTGCAGATTAGAGCTATTTTTATGCAGTTTTTTATTAATCTTATTTTGGCAATCGTTATAAATAAAGCAGAGATCATCTCTCAAATTTTCATTAAATATGTCTGAATTGCTTTGGCTCAACAATAAAATCCCTTGACCTTCTCCACAAAAGCAGGCATGACATTTTAATAAGAAAAATACGTTTCATGGAATTATGTCATGCTCAAAATGAAAAAGAAATCATTGCTTAGCCATACAACTTCCAAGTACCTATAATCTGATTCCTGTATAAAAGTAAAATAGACAAACTTATTTCAATAAAATTAAGGTTACTACTTTTCAAAGAGTATATAGGCCAAAGCAAAGAGAAACCAAAAAATTTCTTCATTCTTATTAGTAGATCTCAAGGAATTCACTATTAAAAACAAGGGAGGGGAGACATAATGTAATGCCCAGGTATTAGACACAGGAAAACTAAAAACTAATGTAAGAATGGAAAATTCCAAACAAAATGGAAAACCACTTCTTTATATAAAAAGCCTCAATTTTTAGGCAACCCAAATATAAATTTACCTTTGATTACTCTGGCATTAATTGATAACAAAAATATGTTGAAGTTATGTTAATGAAAATTGAATTATATTTTAACACTTATGCTAGAATTCTTTAGTAGGTTAAAGAACTGACTTATCTAAAACAAAAAACACTAGAGAGAAAATTAATAGTCAAGGTGCAATAAGAACTTGGATTATCACATAATAGAAAGTCAACAATGTGGAAAGATACTTACTTTGAGGTATGAAATAAAGCTACGCATATGAAAATAACTGTTGAAAAAGGAGACATATATGTGATAAATACAGAATTCAAGAATAAAACACAGTAGAGCTGAAGTTATTAATAATTAATTGGTGTGTGTATTGAAAAGGTTTTCTAGTTTTGAGCATTATTGTAGAGTTAGAATAAGTTAAGTCTTTGATATAGTTGATGTATGTAAGTAAAATACACACGCACATGCCAGCAAAGGACAGTAGGGAGACAGTGAGATTAGAGCACTCGCGTGCAAAGGGAGAAGACAACTCAGAAAAGGTTGTAAGCTTAAAGTGAACCAAGAGATACACAGACATAAGTAGTGAAACAAGGGGGCAGAAGAGTGTTTGGGGGTTTTACCTCCTTCTGGTCAAACAAGCGTATCTGGGATATAGTTCACAGAGAAACAGAGATAAGGAGAAAGTCGTGTGAGACCAAAAGGTGAGTGACTCATCAGAAGGTGAAAAAGTATACCCCGGGAGAGAAAGGAGGCTGGAAGGCAGGAAGAAACATCTCCATGCCCTCGTGTGAAAGCTAAGAGAAAAGATGGAAGGAAAGGACCAGAAAATAAGCACTGAACTTGGACTAGACCTTGGAATTCTCATGAGAGAAGACCAACTGTTGAGCTTTTAGATGGAAGTTACATCTTCCTGTAAAAAAGATAATCTAAAAGGAATAATAATAATAATAATCATCATCATCATCATAGCTGAGAGAGAGGGTATGGGGTAGGGTGGGATGGGTCAAACCCAAGGGAGCTAGAGGGACTCAAAAAGTCTATCTGGCTCACTGAATAAAGGGGATAATTGACAATAACTGTCAAGAGCTAAAGCCAGGTCAAGAAGATCAAGGCAAAGAATGAATCTTCACTGGCAGAAGACAGGAGGCTGTCACCAAGCACAGCGGCTTCCAGTCCCTGGCTAGAGCTGGAAACAGCCTAAAATTCTCGAGATAATTGTTTTTGGAAAAATGACAGAAAACTGTTCTCTTCAGCCCTTGGCTGAAAAGGGAAAAAGACTATTTACAATAGGCATCAGCAGGAACTTTCAAGGTTTAGGTCATTTCTATAGTTCCATACAGGGGCCATGAAAAAGGCAGAAAGTAAAATTCAGTAATTTATGGCTTCCCAAACGTTAAACCTATTAAATTATGTTTAGGTGAAAAAATTGTTTTATTCTTTTGTGCTTTAAAACTTTTAACGTTCAGTCTGCAAAAGTTACAAAAAGTTAACTAGTGTCTGATTTCTGGGAAAGAAGTATAGGAAATTATAAGCGATCAAGTAAATAGTTTAAAAGATTAAGCACAGCAAAAACCAATCGACACTAAGCATTTCTTTAAACTGACCACTGCCACTTGTTTTTAGAAAAAGTAAACTCTTTTCTAGCTATGATTTTTTAATCAGGTGAAAAGGGGGGTCTTTACATCTGTCTTTCATACTCAGTAATAGTTTCATCATAAATTTTCCCATTTTTCTTTTCTTTAAAAAATTTCCAAATTGGGGTTCCTGGGTGGCTTAGCTGGTTAAGCACCCAACTTCAGCTCAGGTCATGAACTTATAGTTCATGAGTTCGAGCCCCGCAATGGGTTCTGTGCTGACAGCTCAGAGCCTGGAGCCTGCTTTGGATTCTGTGTCACGTGTCTCCCTCTCTTTCTGCCACTCTCCTGCTCGTTCTCTCTCTCTCTCTCTCCCTCTGTCTCAAAAATAAATAAAGATTTAAAAAAAAATTTTTTTTAAACAATACCAAACAATTTCACTGGCCCACCCCAGAAAGGGGATTGCTCAGTGAGTTTGTAATTTCTCTCCTGCCTCCCAAGAGATTAGAGGGGAGACAGATTTTGATACTGCAAGTCCACCTTCAACTAACAAAAAGTTAGGGATGTGTATTTTTTTTATGTCCCAGATAGGAAATACATAGCTTCCTAGTAACAGAAAATTAGAGAAGACATAAAATTCATTCATAAAACAGTATAATAGGTCAGAGATTGAAATCAAATGGCTAAAATTGTGAGGGCTCAAGAAAAATGGTATTTTTCATTCCAGACTGCCCTAAATTCTTTGGAGCAGGAGTAAAATAGTAAAGCATTCCCTAGTCCTGCTCTGGAATTATTCAGATGTTGGAAAAAGTGTGTCATTTGGATTTATAAATAGTGAATTCCAAAAGATGTTCTTTGTAAGAACATTTATCAGGAAAAGAGAAGTACAATAATTTCAATTCCAAATTAATAGTACTTTATTTGTTTCCATAAAAGTGCAGTAATAGAACCTTAGCCCAGTAAGTGTCCAGGGGATGCGGTGAGGGAAGGCATGAGGTAAATTAACAATTTTGCAATAAAAATCCCCTTTAGTTTTAACAATAGAGGGAGCAATGAAAAATATTTGGTATTATTTATTTGGAGAAATAATCAATCTCAGCGTCTTCTGAGGCCTATCTTAGTTTCTACCTAATCCTTGTCTTTTTGAGCAAGACTCCCTCTTGGAAGGATAGAGGGGAAAAAATGGGGAAAAGATTAGGGGTAGGGAAAAATACTCGGAAATAATAATTGTTAGTGAAAAGGTGAAAGACAATTAGATTCAAAGAAATGAAAAGAGCACAATAGTAGGAAAATTACTTGAGAGAATGCATAAAGCAGATTAATTGGTCTATTTTTGCCTTATTGATTATACATTTGAGTGTATTATAGAGAATAAAGGACAAGCACCACACTGACACTTCTTTTCTCTCTCTTTTTTTACTGGTAGATGGAAGAAACCAAAAGACCCCAGCCAAGCTAAACCTTTGCATTTACTCAAACAGTTGAGAATAACTTGTATAGAAAGACTGAAGCTCAAGAAAAGGAGTCCTCTAAGCATTTGTATCTTATCTGTATCTTCAGCTTCAGGGTCAGTGACATAGGGTGAAGGACTCCCCAAGAAGGTCACTGAATTTCTTTTCTAGAACACCTTAGATTCTCTGCAGCCCACAAAGGCATTCTGAATGAAAACAAGAGTCTCAGAGTGCCATACTCACTGCTTTATCTCCCAAAGACCACGACCATCTTAAATTTCAAAAGAAAATGAAAGACCAAAGAATGAAGGATCAAGTTACTTAAAATGTATGATTAATTTCCTCACCTTGATCAGGCAACTCCTTAAGAACGCCCCTTCTTATCAGCTCCTCTCTACTTTGTCTTGTGGATATCTTCCTTTCTAATACTTTTAAAAAGAATAAGCATAAGTAAGAATCAAGTCATAGCTTAAAATAATTATGAAAAACATTCCAAGTAGAATTGAGCACATTTGTTCTGTTCACGTGAGGACTCAAACCGCAGTTTTTCTAGTCGCCTTGGAAAACATGTGGTTGGAGTCAGTATCATGAGGACCAGGGCAAAGGACAGCAGCCCATGCTCTGAAATCCAGCCACCGAGCCTGGTCCTTCAAATAATGATGTTTGGTCAAGAATGCAGACACATTATTTCATATCAACTACAGAGCACACTTTGAAATAGTCCTTTTTTTAAATTTTTTTATTTTTGGCAACCTAAAATACGCTTCTATGAATACGCAATGTATATAAAAGATATGTATGCTTACATTTAAACCAAACAAACAGTCAGTAAATATTCAGGTAACTCATCTGAATCTCAGAGAAAAAGTCTACTCTTCCAGTGTTTTCTCTCTCCCACCACTATCACAAAAGTCCAACACATCAGATCTCTGTGGCTCATTTCCTTGCCATACTCAAAAGGTCTAGCATCTTCCGGTGTATCCCCTGACAAATCCCAAATCTTAAGAGGATGGAATCAATTCATGCTTTCCCAGGTACTTAAAGGGATGGCAATCTCAACACTGCTTCTTCCTTCTTGAAGAATTTAAATTTCTTTTTTTTTTTTTTTTTATGTTTTATTTATTTTTAGGAGAGAGAGAGAGACAGCGTGAGCAGGGGAGGGTCAGAGAGAGGGAGTCACAGGCTGAAACAGGCTCCAGGCTCTGAGCTGGCAGTCAGCACAGAGCCAGACGCGGGGCTCGAACCCACGAACAGCGAGATCATGACCTAAGCGAAAGTCGGACGCTTAACCGACTAAGCCACCCAGGCTCCCCGAAGAATTTAAATTTCTGTTACAACTTCAGAATGGAGCTGAGGAGCTCAGGGAGGGACTTTAATAGTATTCACTTTATGTGTGTATAGTATCAGTTTCCTGAACCTTGAATGTCTGGCTCTACTCCCCACTTTGAGGAACCAAAGAGGTGTGTAAAATTAACGTCATCTACTAATCCTCTGAACCAAAATTCTCCGAAGTGGGTTCTTATAGAAGTCACTTCCTCTAGATGCCCTGTTAGAAAAAGCACCTTGACACCGCAACAAGGGGCCACAGAGAGGGCTCTTTAGGGAGAAGGAAAGGTACACTGGTGGAGACTGGGTAGCCGCAGCAGGACTGGATTCTGTTTCTCCCTAAAATTCCTATTCCTGTCCTCAAAATCTGCAAATCCTAGAGCCACATGAACAACATAATTTCAAGATCCAAACTAAACCCCATTACCGCAAGCCCTGCTCTGACACACAGACACAGACCTCCTAATAGCACTAAGCATATGTTTTTTGGGGGTGCTCCAGGCGGCCTGAAGCAAGGACATTTGAAGACAGAGGAGGGAAGGGAGAGGTGTTGTCTTGGGCCAAGAGCTTTGGGCCAAGCACCTGAAAGTCCTCAGTAAGTGGTTAGTAATGGCATGAGTCCCAGAATACCCACACTTAGTCTCTCTTGAAGAAACTGAAATATTTTTACCTTTTCTGATAACTATTAATTGTGTATTCCTCTTTTATCCTGGTTGCCAGAAATGCCAGAGTAAAATCTGATATTTAACACAGATTTCATACGACAACTCGGACGAAATCTGTTTCCTCCTTCTTAGAGACCTGAATTCATTTGTATTTTATTTACACAGCATATGTGCCCTTTGTTCCCGGTTTTGCCAAACATATTTTCCGACAGAATCAGGATATAAACAAACAAGACAATGAATAAATGAGTGAATGAACAAATGGTCAAAAAAATAATAAGTACCCTCTTATTGGTTCACACCAATAATAATAAGTAACATCTTAAAGAGACACACACACAACGTTCACCTCGTCCTTTAGATGACCACCCACCCTCACTCTCCACCCTCTCTTCCAGAAGCAAGTAACAACAGCTCCTGTAAATGTTGGTGATTTCAATGGTCAAAGTTAACTGGGTGGGGGAAGGGAGGGTAGCCAGAGCTGTTCTTTGATGGGAGTTCTTTTATGTAAAAACAGTGCTGTTATTTCAGTACAGCTTCAGTTTGTTCAGGCTTTTGTCAATGTGCGCTCCTGTCAGCACAGGAAGCCAAACAACACCCACAATGACACTGTGGGGCACTGCAAAGACAGTGCACGTGGTTGAAAAGGACCCTGACCACTACAGTCCACCAAGGACTGTGCAAACCCATTCAGGCTTGACTGGCGCTCTGAGGCAACCCAGGCCCGAGAAAGACTGAGGCAGAAGATGGGGCTGAACTTGTCTGGGGAAATGACGACGGGACTTGAGGCGGGATAAGACCACAGAAGAAGGAACAGATGTGGGTTTAGGCAGCCGCACCGGGGTCCAGACAGCTGGTCGACCTCAGAACCCAGGACTTCTGCGGCCGGCCATGTTGGGGTTCGGCCTGCTGGTCAAACCTCTTCGGACTGCGGGACTGCTCCTGCACACTTGCCCCAGCCCCCAGGCCTGGAAGATGGGCCGAGGGCTACCACACTTGAGGACACAGGTGGCAACTGCAAGACCAAGGGCCATTAAGCCACATTCTGAGAGGCCAAATGCAATTGTTGATTCACAAGATAGTCTTTGTGGCTGTCTGCCCCTTGACCTTAGGAAACATCTTTTAATCGTTTGCTGTTTCTGCAAAGTGACCTAAAACATGAAATGGTTGTCAGGGGTCCTGGATTCTAGTCCCAGAACTTTCCCCAATGAATTGTGTGACACTGAGCAGTCTCTTCAGGTTCCAGGGCCTCTGATCTGCTATCTGTAAAGGGAGGGACGCTATTCAATGATCGCTGAGGGACATGTTGTGTGATCCTGGATCGTTAATCAAAGCCATGCTGTGATCTCTGCTTTGGGTGCCTTTAAAAGCTTTCACTCTTTCACTGAAAGACCATCTGAGAGCCCAAACGTATCTTTTGTTTCTGCCTTTCCATTATGGATCCCAGAGGATGCTTCAGTTTTAGTTTTAAGCTTTCTGTTGCTTTAATTCTAATTTAATCTCAGTCAAAAATCCCTCGTCCTTCTCCCTTGCAAATTCTGGAGCTTTGAAGCAGCTTGGCCTCCTGCCAGGAATTAAAACAGACAGCTTTGTTCTTTGCTTTACCTCTTATAAACGGGCCCTGATAGGAAAATGCCTTGGCAATTTGTTTGGTCTTTGGCTGAGCAGGTTTTTAACACATAGTGCAGATAACTGTGTACTGGGCCAATGAGAACACACTGCAGGCGACTGAGCATGGAAAGTATGTTGCTAGGGCACAAAGTTCCAACCACCGCTCTCCGAGAAGAACAAGTATCACACTCTTCATCTTCTAAAATATTTGCCTCATGTTTATATAGTGTCTGTATGTTTGCAAAGCACATTCACTGGACACTTTTTCATAGGCTTGGAAGCGCTCTGCATTGGAATGAGTCTGAGAGGTCACTCTCGTCCAACACACCGCACAAAGCAGGAACCATTTCAGGAACATTCCTGAGATTTGCTCACCTGCGTGAAAACATTCAGAGGCAAGATGGTCTACTCCAGGTGTCTGTCACCCTCATTCTCAGGAAGGTGTTCCTTATACCCCACTCCCTGTAACTGTGCACATTCATCAAACCCATGCTCCCCATAGCTCTAAAGTCAGTCATCTGTGATGGGAAAATAGCATGAGTTAGCTCTGTGTTCACTGAGAGCAAAGTGGGTTACTGAAGCCTCCTAGAACCTGATGCCTAGTATCCAACCAGCTGCTCTTTGACTTTGAAGTTTGCCCTAATCTGTGCAATAACACTAATAATGTTGGGGGGTGGGGGTAGCTCACTCACAAATACTGCTGGGAAAGAGACTTAGCCGGGAGGTCAGATCATTGGATGTGGTAGCTAGGTCTCTCCATGAAAGTATTATTACCAGATGAGTAAATAGCTCACGGTTACTCACTTTTATCCCAATTAAAAAAGTGTGTGTGGTTTTTTACGAAGATCAAGCAAACCCATGGTTTCTGGTTTCCTCCCTGGATTGGGTAAATTACAGCTTTGGCAGTTCACAGACAGTTACGACAGCACACACTTTTCTAAGTCAAGGGTGCACTGTGCCCTCACTTTCCCACCTTCAGGCTTATACTCTGGTGTTTCAAGTATTTGAAGAGGCTGATCTTCCAAAAACCTCCAGTGGCTGTCCATCTATCTCACTGAATTCCCTATTACTTGGTATGGTCTCCACAATGCCCCCCAGAGGCTGTCCCCCACATGATGCCCACCCCATAGGATCCCTTCCCCACCTTTCCCTCCTGTCTCTGTCTGCTCCAGCCCCTCCACTCCCCTTGCTTGTCACCTGATGCAAGCAGCAAGCTCCTGCAAGATAACCTCTGTCCCTACAGGATGGGATTTCCCCAGCCCCCCACACGGCTCATTCCATCACTTCCTTCAAGTCTTTGCTCAAACGTCACCTTATCAGAAGTCCCTTCCTCGCACACCCATCGGAATAGCGTGTTCCTGCTCCCGCCTCTCCCTACCTTATCCTGCACAGCATGTCCCTCCCTCCTGAAACGGGACCCACTCCCTAAATGGAGTCTTGATGAGAACCAATGCTCTTGTTTTGCTTAGTGCTGTTTTCCCAACAGTGCCTTGCAGGTCGTTGGAACTCAGAAAACATGTGCATTGGTTGCATAAATGAATACAAGAAAATAGGCTAATAATGCTAACAGTCTTGTTTTCTGCCCCTTCCCCACCTCCAGCCTACGAGAAAGCAAACAAGGCTTGTGGCAAAACTCTACGAACAGGAATCTACTGTTTTCCTGAGCCCTCTGCTGCTTGGCTGGGCCCGCCGAAGGGAAAATCCTGAGCTCTCGCTCTGTCCTATGGCTCATCTGAAAAAGTCTCTGTGTGCTCTGAAGAAGGAAGGCTGTAGTGTGCAGAGGACAGACGGCAGCCAAGTAACAGGATGTAGCACACGACCGGGCT